TTGTATGAGATTTCCGAGATTTAAAAAAAAAAAAAAAAAGGAGAAAAAAATCAGCACAGTCAGAAGATAAGAGTGAAAATGAGAAGAAAAAACACACACACTGTAATAGGGAGAAAGATACAAATTCCAAATGGCATACCATAGAGTTAAGCACTGTACTTTTACCCTCCGAAAATATGGAGGCAGTGGTTCTCCCCCTACTCAGGTACAGGTAGGCTTCAACAGAAAGAGAGAGACTTTATCACACTTGCATGCACAGTCAGAAGATAAGAGTGAAAATGAGAAGAAAAAACACACACACTGTAATAGGGAGAAAGATACAAATTCCAAATGGCATACCATAGAGTTAAGCACTGTACTTTTACCCTCCGAAAATATGGAGGCAGTGGTTCTCCCCCTACTCAGGTACAGGTAGGCTTCAACAGAAAGAGAGAGACTTTATCACACTTGCATCAGAAGCAGATGTTTACCTTTTTAATTTAAAACAAACTCCTCGTACTGGTTATATAGGACAACACATCTTTACAAATAAGCAAAGACTTAGTGTCTCACCATGTAACACTGACATACATTTCTGCGAGATTCCAGGTATCCAGAAAATATTTTGTATTCGATTCTTAGGGAATGTTTACAATTGCCATTTAAAGTTATCAAAATATACTGAGACACCCCTGCGCTGTATGCGTTGCATTTTTCTGCAGCAGGCAACCAAAAGCTCAAAACCAAAACGTAAAACGAACCTCCTGTCCATACTTCACTGCCTGAGATGCTGTCGCCTCATCCATCTCTCCCTCCACCATGGCTCCTTCCAAGCACTCATTCAAGTTTCGATAACCATTTACCTGAAGGGGATACTGACCGAAGGCTTCGATCTTGGAAAAAGTATTGCCTGGATGAGACGGAAACGATACAAAACCCGTGAACTAATAACTTCAGAGAACAAAAAATCTCTGGTTAACTCAGGAGTTTGTTGTCAGCACCAGTCAGAGGCGCTACTTGCAAGAACCGAACCGCATATAGCGCTCTGTATACACATCTGTCAGGGTAAGGCTCCTTATAAACAAGTGCTTTCAAATACACGAGCGCTTGTGAGTTCTCAGAAGACAGACTTTATAAATGCTACAGACAATTTTATCAAGAAGACTATTTGCGAGTTTAAAGAACTAGGCAATTCCATCAGGAATCTGCAACAAAATCCCGTGTCATCACTGCTAGAAATCGGAACGCTCAAAGGAGTTAAAAAGTGGATCTACCAAACCCTTCACTCACCCTCGTGGACACCCTCAGTCAAGAAAGTCCCGTAGAAAAGTTGTACCATCGGGTTTTCAGATTTGTCCCCAGGGCTCCTGTTTCAGAAAGAAAAAGCGCACGTTCATTTGCAGCTGTAGGCTGCAAAAAAGCCCCAAGTCATAATCCAAGCCTTTGCTTGGGAATCTTCCTACAGTCAAAAGTAAAGCTTTCTGTCCAAGCACGAAATACAGAGGAAGCTTCTCATCTGTTTCCATACTCGAAAGCACATTCTAACACTTACACTGGCAAGGTGGGGGGGGAGGTTAAGGCCCTACCTTGTGAAATGCAGGTGCAAAAACCCAAATCTTTCGCGTACGCCAGTTCTGTTGAGTTCCCCTAAAAAGCTTATTTATTCTGCAGGCCATACTGGCATCGAATAAAGTCCTACGCTTGTGTACAGAAAATGTACATACGACGCTTCATAAGCGTATTTCAAGCTTAAGGAGCATCATCCTCAGTAAACAAAAAAGCGCTCTCTCATTTACTCAAAATTTTCACGTAAAGCCCTCTCGTTTATTAAGGCGTCGCATTTAAAATCTGTTTCTCCTCAGTGTCAGGCCAAACTCCCGAGATCACAAAAAACTCACTTGACGTTCACAGCAAGCTGGAACGCGTCCTCCAGCCAGTCCAGTAGTTTGTGTGTAAATTCACTCACATCTTGCTAGAAGAGAGACAAAAGTCGAGAGTCAAACCTAGTACCAGCCAGAAAGCGTTTTCACGGTCTACCGGTTTCACGAACCTACTGGAATACAACCCGGCTGGTGTCGCTGTACCTACCCAGCTGAAAGAAGTGTGAAACTGAAGTGCTGTGCTGATTTAGACTGATAATGAACACTCTGCTCATCTGAAAACTAGATCAGAGGACATTATTGTGATCGCTACCCAACTACCCAGATGGCGCTGGGTAGAGCACTGTTACGCTGGCTGTTTAATTAGCAAGCACGTACATTTCGCCTAAATGACACAGGGACAGCTGCTTGTCAGTTGACAAACACGGGAAGAGGCCTCTGAAAGTAATAGCAGGATGAAGCGAAATAGGATTGCCGTGGCTGCAAGTGCTGTTTTGAAGAAAGCAAAAGGCTTTTGAACGCGGTTTTACCTGCTGTTCTTCAGCGGATCTAAACGCATCCCTCAAGAGTTCCAGTGCTGCAGAAGGGTCTACAAACTTACGACGTGTCCCCAGCATTAAAGCAAACAGACACTGAAGTTCTTGCATGAATGCAATATTTCTTTTTCCCTGCATTGCAAAAAGAAGAAAAGCCAAACCCTTCCTGCAACTCAAAAAAAAGCCGCATCTTAAAACAAAGTGCTACAGAATACTACATGCACATACCTTAAGAGGTACGCTAACAACCAAGGAAAGAGGAGACATTAAAAAGGACAAAAGCAGAAAGACATGCGGTGTCATTTCTTGGAAGCAATCTGGTCTCCCGATGGATGCACGGGAGCAAAAATTTAACCGAAACAAAACCTTTAGAGAAAAGAGCGCCCGAAGTCATAATTGCTAAAACAGAAGGCAAACCCCAGTGAATTTATGAATTTATCCTGTCTGCACTTTGGGTTTTTCAGAGCATCAAGAGCACACGTGAAAGCAAGCAAAGCAAAGTCTCTTAAATGGCGGTGGCCACAAGCTAGAACGATATAACAAGCGAAGGATAATGCTAGGTATGCCTTTTTCTCTAAATATTTTCTAAGCACCTTCTGCTGACCCGTCTCAGAAGGTACTGGGGCTAGAGGAGGGACCTTCAGACCTGCTCAAACGCCAGTTCTTCTACGGTGCATGCGAACAAATGAACAATCTGGAGCTAACACAGATGATTTATGGGACAAATTTCTCCCCGCACCACAGTTAGAAAGAAGCTCTAGAGGAAAGCTTTCCGAGAAGCATCTGATTTTTTTTCTCCAGCGATTCCATCTTTGGAAAGTATTTCCCCAATTTGTCTTTAACGCAGCCTGACAATTTGAAAGCCATTAGCATAGGCACAGGAGTCTCAGATGGCCCCAAATTAAATCTCCTTAGAGAAAGAGCAGAACCGTATACCACAAAAGCGGGAAACTTTACAGAGTTACTTGATGAAAACTTACAGTGCGACTACGACAACTTTCAAGCACATTTTGTGGGAGGGAGTACCCAAGGACCAGCCTCCGAAATTCTGGCAACTGAAACAGAGACTGAAAGGAAAGGAGAGGCAAAGACCAGTCAGCATCTGCGAGGATTTGACTCACTGCAATTTGATGCCCCCTTGTCGCTCTTTTACTCGACAGCTTTTTGTTAACTTCTAATTCTTCGATGGCCTTGTGTTACTAAATAAACATTTACGAAGTGAGCAGTCCATGTGCCGGACCAGCACATTCGCACCCACCAAAGAACAAAACCTCATCCTGCCATTTCTAGGATATATATAACCATTTCAGGAAAGGGTATTCTATTCTGCAAAGGCAAGCTTAGAGAAAGGATCCAGGAACAAGTCACAGTGAGAAAGGAGCCCGTCCGAAGCTTTCTTCCTTCCTCTCAAAGCTGGAGACATATGATTGATTAACGTCTATCTGCTGATGTGAGACGGTTAGAAGAGACAAATCCGCTTAGTTCCACTTACTGTTGTCTCTTCTTGTTTAGGTTATCACTAATAATATATGCTGCCTAGTTGCTTATTCGTTCGAGCATCTATGCCAGTGTATTCCATTAACTGGAACATGATACGCCACGTATTATGGAGCCAACAATAACTGCAGTAAAACTGAATTATCAGTTCACTTTGCCAGTCGAGCTTCTGTCATTCAGTAAGCATTTGGACATCGCTGCACCAAAAAAACCCTACATACGTACAGGCAGATTATATGTATCTGTATCTATTTTTACGCAGTCTATTCAACTGCTCTTTGGCTCTTTCTGAGCACGGACAGAATAAATCACAGTCATATCAAGTAAAAACACAAGTCTCATTTGAGCACGGTCACATTCACTCATCTGCATACGATGACCACTTCACAGAGCTGTTGCGTATGTAATTCTAACTGATAAACATTTTGACTCCAGGACCGCAGCAACACCAGAGGAACTTTTCTATCAGGTTACCTGTATGACAGCGCTAAACCAACATGTATTTCCAATATTTTTCATTCCAACGGGCCAGTCGCCCACTCTTCTCCAGTCATTCTGCTTGGGGTTCTCTCCCCAGACTTCACAGCGTTTCCTTTTGGAGCGATTTTTGTTTTCAGCAGAATGCGCTTCCTGTGGTCTGTCACAAAAGATGCACACCGTGCTGTAAAACATCATCTCACAAAGATTCTCGAGAACTACGGGAATCGTACTCCCCTCTAGTGACAAGCGGGACGCTAGAGCCGGGCGCTGTCGGGTGATACCCACCGCAACAGGCAACAGATGTCTTATTTGACTCCAGAAAGGTTTTGGCTCTCGAGTGAGGTGGATGGAAAACATGACTGCAAGACAATTTGGAACGATGGAAGAAGGTAATAAGATATGCGTGTTTTTCTTCATGAACTAGCTGCGTGCAAAACGGGTGCCCTTAGTCATTATTGGAGGCAAATCCGACCCGCGGTAGAAAGGAGATGGCTACGTAGTGACTGGCGCGAGGTGAATCGACACAGGAGATTTCAAGGTGCTTTTTCAACAGGTGCCATAATGCCAGCAGAGCATCCTTTTGTGTGGCACGTCAGCAACAGCAGCAGGGACTCAATAAGCTACGACTAAACTTGCTTTTTCTATTTCGACCATCACTTCGCAGTGCTGCCCCAGAAGTAAAGGTCAACTACCCAGAAGGCAGTAATGACCCAAGCACCTTCTAAAAGCAGTAGGTGTACATCTGGTAGGGGATTTATGTTTGTCTTGCAGTTACCAGCTTAAGGATCCACTTACGACACCCGGGAAAACCAAAACCAATTTACGGACCCACTGACCTTTCAGCAGCATCTCTTTCCGCAGCCTGAGCTTTTGGCGATTCCAGTGGTCTGCAGGCGTCGGCTGCGTGGAGGTCATCTTTGTTGTTAGGGGTAAGTGCAGTAGTAACATCTGGAAGTGGAGGCAGCGTTCTGATCAGTTTTCCACCAGGAGCAGGCAAATGTTCTCTTTAAAAGGAGCTTCTAGAAAACGTTGCACCTCACAAATATGATTTTTCAACCGACAGAGCGTCATTTTCTAGCTCAAGTTTTAAATACAAATCCTCGTAGTCTGGATCGTGCTAGGAAACCTAAAAAGCCATTGAGTGGGCTGGATGAGGAGAACAGGACAGACCGTGCAGCTGTGTACTGGCCAGATTTCCTTACACCCAAATTCAGAGCTTGAGGGAACATTTCAAATCTCTTGAAATAATGAAACAGGAACATCAGCTGCTGCTTACATGTGCTGTGCCTTGACAGCAGTGTTGACAACCGACACTGTTTCGAGAAACAAAGGATTTCAATAAAATCGGCACAATCACACAGAATCGCCTTCCTTCGCTCGTGTCGGGATGCTCAGCTATGAGTCATTTCACGTACTAGCTAGGCAGGAAAGAAGGAGAAAGGAAAACAAGTAGTTCTGGAAGAGGTGGAAGCCTTACACAGTGGAACAAAGGGCAGCCGCACTGTTCCGGGTGTTGCTTCAAAGCTCCCAGCACAGATTTTTGGCATTGTGAACCTGTCCGGTGATAATTTCACCCGGGAAAGCTCCCGTCAATAGATGTGTCATTAGCAAAAAGGTTTAAAGAAACTATTCTCAACTACCTCAGACTACAATTACACTTCTCACATCTAAATGTACCAAACTGACGGCCCGCTTTTGCCAATACCTGTAACGTTTATAAAAACATTTTCCAGGTAGTCAGATTGCTAGCTCACACAACATTTTAAGTTTTCATGAAAACACGATACTAAACACTCAATTTGCCCGCTCTGCCCACAGGTGCTGTTAGAAAGAAACGTACGATCCTTGTCAGTTCTCCATCCTGCTCGCTCTGCTTTAGGAGCTTTCTGGGTTTTCTGTGTTAGCCAAGACCAACCGTTTGAAACAACGATAGCTTTGTAACTACGATGTGTCGCCTACAAACGCTATTAAAAAGCTATTAAGTCACTTTCCTTTCGGACGCAGCTCTCCTCTGCCAGGAAGGTTTAGCCCCCTGGGCTGTCCCATGGCAAGTGGCAAGTACTGGCAAAATCAGATCAGCACCAGGACAGGAGCCGGAGGGACTCACTGGCAGAAGCAGGGTGGACCGATACTTCCCCCTTTCGGCTCAGGCCGAAACAGGTGAAACCTTAAGGGCGAGGAGAGACGAACCACTTACTTTGTGGGAGCTGTTTGCCCACAGCGCTCCCTTCCCAAGCGGACGGCTCTGCAGCAGCCGCGTCCTGAGCCGGCTCCTGAGCGTGCTCCTCCGTCAGGAAGGTGACCGCTTCCATTAGGTCTCCATTAGCAGCCTAGCAGAACGATAAGGGGGGGGGAAAATCCATAGCGCCAGGCTTACTTCATCTACGTTTGCATGACATTTAATGCATCCGTGGTAGAGATAGGCACACCGCCACCAACTCTGCTTTCTCTGGCCATGGGAGAGAGCTATCTGTTGGTGACAAGCAGCAGTAAAAAACCGAGAATAATGAAGGCTTGAATTTCTCTATCGGAAAGCACTTTGGCTTTATTACTAGGACAATATAGACTCCATTAACTAATTTCATTTCCCTCACAAGAGATTCGAGTAGTCGCAGGAGGCCTGAAGCACGACAGGGTACTTGGCCACCGGGAGAGACTCACAGGAATCAAAACTCTCTGTGGATTTCAAGACATACGTCTCTTACTGAGCTAGGGCTTTCTTCAGACCATCGCTACGGGCTAAACTCCTTTAAATTTATTCTAACATTTTCTGGACATCACTTCTCGATGAAACATTTAAGGATTTCCTTAAACAAGCCTCTTTGTATATTTTCAGCACAGCCCATGTCCTGCTGCTGCATCTCAAGAGGATGGACGGCGTCTGATGATTCCAGACCGACGTGGTTGCAGCCAGTTTAACCCTACAATTTATAAATACCGAAACATGCACTGTGAGGAGGAATCTTTCCAGGTAAACGTTGCTTCCCCGAGTGCCTGAGATTCCTGTGTCCCTTCACTCTGGAGCAAAGGTGACTGTTCTGGTGACGGGCAAGACAACCACCAGCCACAAAGCATACCGATGTTATTGCAGCTGTCCAGAACTCCTGAAGCAGTTTACATGGAGAAAAACCTACTCTGACCCACTAAGTTTGTGTTTACCGTAATGCACGGATAACAGCCCCGTAGGAGCGAAACTTCCAGGAAATGTTTACAATGTTTTAGCATAGCACACGCTGCTGCAGCAGAGATTTTAAGGTCTACCGTTAGAAAAACGAACTGTTCTCAACTTAGCGTGGGGTTTTTGTTTCAGATGTGGATGAATACGTACGAACCCCAAAACCGCACATTCCCTGCTGACACCAACAAACGCTGGCTTCGCGTTACCTGTTTTGCCTCACGAGTACACCTGAATGAAGCACAAGCGAGGGGCAGAAAAAGAGCGGAGGATTAACCCTTCACCTGCTACGCCAACCAAATTATTCCACACAGCACACGCTGTATCGCTTTCATGGGCCACGCACTGACTAGTTTAGCGAGGACAAGCTCATTATCAGCCCACAGACAAGCCAGCGAACATCCAAGCCGTGCATTACGTTTTGAGAGAGCCCGAACTTGCCTGACTTTTGGGACAAATTCAGAGGTCTCCTTTCCACAGAACAATGACAACAGGCACAAACCTTTAGAGCCGCATGGAGGAAAGCTGAATCTTGAATTCCTGTGATCTCTTTCAGCTGGTTTAAAAGCATCTGGCAATCCTACATGCAAGAAATAAAGAAAGCTCATGTGAAAAGGTGACCAGGACAGACATCAAGCTGTTTCTGCAAGGCTTGCCGAGGGCTCACCGGAGTATTGCTTCCTTCTTGCCTTTTTACTGACAGATTGACACAAAAACCCAGTCACGCTTGCTTGATAGTAATACCAACGTCAGCTTGAACATCGCACTCAATTTCCCCCCTCCCCCCCCCCAAATATACAGACTAACGTTCAATCCGTCGTATCCTCATGAGCACGTCAGCAGGCCTGGGAGGAAACGCCGTTCCCCCCCCCGTCGGATGCACCGCACCTGCGGTGCGGACGGGCAGCCCCTCCCCCAGGC